CGCAAAGCATTTTGGGGAATCACGTAATTTTACCAGAGAATGATATTTTCTTAGGGAACGCACAAAGATTTGTCAGAGTATCTTGATAGTAGGCAAATATTGAGGGTGTCTTAAAGAATGGACAAATTCTTCCAGAGAAAGCAGTGTTTTTGGGTATCTGATTAAGGGTTTGCACATTTTATTGAGGAACATACATTTTACAGAAAATTGCTAATTTCTTGGCGAATAAAAAATGTCTTAGGGGAGAACACAACATTTTATTGGGAATGCATGAATTTTGCCATAAAATGCAAATCTTCTTAGAGATGGCATTCATTTTGCCAGGGAATGACATTTGCTTAGTGAATGCAAGGTTCTTCGGGGAATGCATTAGTTTTGCAAAAAAGCACAACGTTTCTTGGGGAACACAAAGTGTCTTGAGAGTAGACACATATTGTAGGTGTCTTAAAAAAATGCACAAATTTTGCCTGAGAATGCAACATTTCTTGGAAAACAGATCTTTTTTGGCAGGAATTGAACATCTTATTGGAAACACACACATTTCATCAGGCATCGCAAATTTCTCAGGGAACGCAACATTTCATGAGGAAGGCCAAATTTCAGAATCGCAATAATTTTACCAGAGAGTTATATTTTCTTGGAGAACACACAAATGTTTGTCATAGAATCCATTAGTTTTGCAAAAGAGCTCAATGTTTTTTGGGGAATCATGAATTTTGCCAGAGAACACAAAGCTTCTTGGGGATCACATTGATTTTGCCAGAAAATGCCAATTTTCTTAAGGAAGCACAAATTGTCTTGAGAGTAGACAAATATTGTAGGTGTCTTAAAGAACACACTAATTGTTCCAGAGAAAGCAGTGTTTTTTGGGAAACTTATTAGTTTTGCCAGGGATTGCACATTATTGCACACAGGGATTGTTATTGGGAACATTTTTTTTCCTTTTTACAGAGAATTGCAGATTTCTTGGGGAATAAAACATATCTTAGTGGAGTTCACAATTTTTGGGGGGATTGCATGAATTTTGCCATAAAATGCAAAGTTCCTAGGAAACACATTGATCTGCCAGGGAATTACATTTGCTAGGGGAACGCAAGGTTCTTTGGGGAATGCATTAGTTCAGCAAAAGAGCTGGGGGAGAACAATAAAACCCCACAGAATGCAATTTTCTTGGGGAATACAAAGTTTCTTGAGAGTAGACAAATATTGAAGGATTCTTCAAAAAAATCAGTAATTTTAAATTATTTTCTTGGGAAACTGATAACGTTTTGTCAGGAACTGCACATTTTATTGGAGAACACACACATTTTGCCAGGGATCACACATTTTCAGGGATCGCAGCATTTCTTGGGAACTTCCTGGGTGAGAGCTCAAAGTTTATTAGGGAAGATATTTCAGGGGAATGCATTAGTTTTGCATGACTTGCATGAGCAGACAAATATTGTACCGTGTTCCACTTCCACACTGCTGTAGGGCTCTGTAGAAGTGGGCTCTTCTATAGTGATCTCTCTACTAACGGTTTCCCTCTCTCTGCATTGCTCTGCAGCTTCCTGCTGAGCTTCAGAAGCGCGTGAGCTCCCACATGGAGAAGCAGCGTTCAGGACGGAGTGTAGCCTTGCATCAGTCCTACACAGATGCCGTTCCCACTGCCGTCATCGGCCGGATCCTGGAGAAACCAGAGTCTGGGAGAAGCTGTCCGGTCACCCGCTCCCCGAGCCCACAGATCCAGGATCTCCCTGATAAAGCTCAGCGGCGTACAGCGTATAAATCCTCCGACCTGTACTGCAGCGATACAGCACTGTACTGTCCTGAGGAGCGGAGGCACGAGCGCTGGACGGAGCGCCGGCAGAGTGCAGACCACAGCGGACAGACCACCGCAGACACGCAAAACAATCCCGAGGA